TTTTTTTTGAGATGGAGTTTTGCTCTTGTTGGCCAGGCTGGAGTGCAGTGGCGCGATCTTGGCTCACCGCAACCTCCATCACCCAGCTTCAAGCAATTCTTCTGCCTCAGCCTCCCAGGTAGCTGGGATTACAGGCACTCACCACCACCCCCAGCTAATTTTTGTATTTTAAGTAGAGATGGGGTTTCACCATGTTAGCCAAGATGCTCTGGAACTCCTGACCTCAAGTGATCTCCCACCTCGGCCTCTCAAAGTGCTGGGATTACAGGCGTGAGCCACTGCGTCCAGCCTCTTCTGAGATTTTTGCTAAGCCATCTCCTCCCTACTTGGTTCCAGGAGTCTTTGCTTTGCCCCGTTCATTCTTTTCCAGTTTCTAAATCCTCCCCATCATTTTGAGTGTCCTCACCTCCACCTCACTCATAGGAACAGAGGAGGAAGGTCATCCATCCCAACAGGTAACTGGACCATCGAGTCATCTTGGCTGTCCTCTTCTCTCTGGAATGAAAGAAGGCAAAAATTTTCATCCCTCAGGTCCCTTTCTCTTCCTGATAGCTCCTAGATTTGACGTCATACATGCCATTTTTTCTATTGACCATAATTTTAAAAATAGACCAGGCATAGTGACTCACACCTGTAATCCCAGAACTTTGGGAGTCCAAGGCAAAGGATCACCTTAAAGCCAGAAGTTCAAGACCAGCCTGGGCAACATAGTGAGACCCCATCTCTAAGAAATTTTCATTTAAATTAGCCAGGCATTTTGGTGTATGCCTGTGGTCCCAGCGACTCAGGAGGCTGAGGCAAGAGGATCACTTGAGCCCAGGAGGTTAAGGCTGCAGTGAGCTATGATTATGCCGCCGTACATGCTGAGGATACAGCAGTGGGCAAAGCAGGCACAGCCTCTGCCTCTGTGGGGCTTAGAGTCTACCAGGGAGACAGATGTGAGGCAAAGAAACCAGAAACAAATACAACTCTTTGCTACGACAAATGCTGTGGATGCTGTGGGAAATAGAAAAGTTCCTTTTTAAAGTTCCCTCTCTTTTTAAAGAATAAATCATTAAGTGTGCTAATAACTTTGTTAAGCCCTATCCTATGTAGCTTTTAGACATGCCATGCTTACAGGCACCTAGTACATTCTATGTCCTTGTATTTTAACCACGATATCTGTGCTGGACGTGCTCACAGGCAAGTCCCAGCTCTCCATTGCTTTTACCTGTTTAGAAAAGTTTTAAGTCATTAGTCAATTGGGGTTTGGTTTAGATTGTGAGGTCCAGCTCCAGCCAACGGAGATCAGACACAGCAGCAAGAACAACCCCAAATGCGTAAGGAATAAATTTGTGTTCACTGTACTCTCATGGCAACATGGCTAGCAAGGGTCCCCTTCCTGCAGTCCAGGAAGAAAAAAATTGCATTGCTGAAAGGTCCTCTGTCTCAGTGCTGATTTTTCTTTGCGGCACCGAGCATCTGTTTCCAACATCTATTTTCAACAGACGTGTCCCAGGAATAACTAGGGCAAGATCACTTTTGATCAAGAGGTCGGGGAGGATCCTCTGAGAAATGACAGGTGAGCTGACACCTGGAGGAACAGAAGGATGAGGGAGATGCGAGAGGAGCTGGAGGTGTGGGGGTGGGGGATGCATCTAGGCAGGAGAAGTCGATGTGGAAAGGGCCTGAGATGGAAAATGTTAGATGTGCTCAGAGAACAGGTAGAACCCACATGGCTGGGGCCAGGCTGGGCACAGTGGCTCATGCCTGTAACCCCAGTGTTTTGGGAAGCTGGGCAGGAGGGTGGCTTAAGCTTAGGAGTTTGAGACCAGCCTGGGCCACATAGTGATACCTTGTCTTTACAAAAAGTGAGGAGGACTGAGGTCACAGAGATGCATGGTGAGGTGGATGGGACTGGGCCCTGCAGAGCCTCCCTTAGATTCTAAACAGAAGGCCAGGTGCACTGGCTCATGCCTGCAATCCAAGTACTTTGAGAGGCTGAGGTGGGCAGATCACCTGAGTTCAGGAGTTCAAGACCAGCCTGGTCACCATGGTGAAACCCTGTCTCTACTAAAAATACAAAAATTAGTTCCACATAGTGGTGCGTGCCTGTAATCCCAGCTACTCAGGAGGCCGAGGCAGGAGAACCACCTGAACCTGGGAGGTGGAGGTTGCAGTCAGCTGAGATCATACCACTGCACTCCAGCCTGAGCAACAGAGCGAGACTCTGTCTGAAAAAATAACAATAAAATAAGATAAATGCCGCTAGAAGCCATGGAAGGGATTAAAGTGAGGAGGGGTGGGCCGGTTGTGGTGGCTCACACCTGTAATCCTAGCACTTTGTGGGCCAGAACAGGCAGATCGCCTGAGGTCAGGAGTTCAAGACCAGCCTGGTCAACATGGTGAAACCCCATCTCTACTAAAAATAAAAATAAAATAAAAAAAATTAGCTGGCCCTGGTGGCAGGTGCTTGCAATCCCCTCAGGAGGCTGAGGCAGGAGATTCACTTGAACCCAGGAAGCAGAGGTTGCAGTGAACTGAGATTGCACCATTGCACTCCAGCCTGGGCAACAGAGCAAAACTCCATCAAAAAAAAAAGTGAGGAGGAGTGGCAGTTATTAATTCAAAATCCTCCATCACCTTTAGAATATAGTCCATAGTCCATACCATGGCCCTCCCTCAAAGCTGATTCCTTACCTTCCTTCCCCTCCCTCCATCTGCCTTTTCGCTGTTTCCTGCAGGAGCCAAGCTTGCTTGCACCTCAAGGCGTCTGCATTTGCTCTTCTCTTTGCTTGGGATGATCCCTCCATTCCCAGATATTTGTGTGACTTGCTTCCTTGTGCAATAAAGAGTTTGGTGCAAGTTCAAAGAATTGGAAGCAACTGATGGTCTGGAATGTTAATGACTGCACAGACCCAGTCACGGATATTAATAGAAAATATTCTAGGGGAGGTTCAAAACAATTATTCAACTGTAAAACAAGCCCTAATAGCCAGACACCCACGCCTGGAACATCCAGGTGGGGACCAAGTTACACCTTGGGCACTGGCACGTTCAGACACTTGGTGAACCCTCTGACCTGAGCCCTGGGGTGGTTGGGACCGGCATCCTGCCACTGCCACTGCTCCTTGGCCGGTAAGCAAAAGGGTTGCTGTGGTTTTGGAGTCAAACCACAGGCAAATATAAGGGTAGTTTTTTCTTT